CCCGTAGAGGAATACCAGACTTTGACGGACATAGTATTTCTAATATACTTGGTTGAACAGTTACCTAGTCAAGTTCCTCTTCTTTATATCTTTCTCTCAGAGCCTCCATTAGTGCAGTACGCCTATAAATCGTGGATCAACTTGTACACTACTCCTATTGTACCTGAAAGCGAGACTAGCACCCAGGTGTGAGCACGTGTAATGACTCCACATTATAGAGCTAAGGCAAGCTAAGTCTACACCCATATGTAAGACCAAGAGGTAACGCGGTAGACTAGACGGACATGCGGGCGCAGGTCCAAGGGATATCTGGTGCTCTGCATATGCTAAGGAATAGAAGGTACTTAAGGAATAGGTGTACCTAAGTAGTGGAAGTAAAGTGACTATGTCCGCTCCGGCCTAAGGTTAGGACGGAAGGGTGGGTAAGTTTACTCTGTCTAGAGCAGTCACGTTAACCTACTGTAGAGACCAGTTTCCTGTCACTATGTACATACTTACCCTGCCTCTGAGACACTATTACCCTACCATCGGTCGTAAATGTTCTCGGAGGAATTTCGGGAAATGTTAGGATTGTTTGTTACGCAATGACCATTGTCGGGCACTTGGTTGCACTTTGATTGAAAGACTACGGGAGGAGCTATAGTGCTCCAAGCAAGCTGTAACTTGGTAGAATTATGCCTAACAGGTACCAGCGGCCCCAGGGTTTGCCCCAGGTATCATGGGCCTAAATGGGTGGGGTTGGCGTCTTACTAGTTAAATGGAGTTCATGAAGACATGTCCATGACACTGTATACGTCGCTGCCGTCCGTCCGACCGGAAGCTGTTCGCAGGATATACAAGGGGGCCAAGGTGAGAAGGTCAAGTACCTTCTCCAAAATGAACGGAGTAAGACGGACCAAAACTGACGGAGTTATCATGAGCTATCCGGAAGGGTCCCCAGAGTAGTCCGGGGTAGTATCAGAGACATCTGGGAAGGTTTTACGCCAATCAAGCCTATACGTGCCCCTTTGCCGTAGGCTCTTCGTGGGTTGTTTGAAGACTCAAATAGCATGATACTTATCACGGTGAGTGGTGTGTCGGGGGTAAGAGACCATGGGTAGCGCCAGTGGGTCCTACCCCTGCTGCAGCTCTGCGCAGGAGCGCGGTAGACCCCCTAAGTGCGGACTCAAGAATGATAGAACTTAGCCTGGAGATAGCTGATGTCTACGGGAGCTTGCATAGGTCATAGCACATGGGAGGAGAGTCATTTAGTTAGCTTTCCTAGGCGTCTCGACAGTTAGCCACTGATGAGACACAGATGCGCAGAGGTTTTCACTGTGCCAGGTGTATTGGTAAACACCTCGCAGGAACTGATGTGCATATAGGAGAATTCTGCTAGAGTGCGCTGACACCTTAGCCCCTTTGGTGACAAGGTAATGGTCCAGGGGCAACCCTTACGGAGAAGGGCATACTCAAGATGGTCGGCGTCACCTGCTGGGGGAGTTTTTGGTTTAAGTCTGACTACTTAAAGATTATACGAGAACTCTCCTACCGCGACAAAAAATCAACATCCTCTCGAGAGACTTTAATCGAGATAAGCCTAAGCTTAACGATATTAAGTTTTACCGTTTACTTTTATTCTTTATACTTTTTCAAGATCAGTGTTTGAGAGATTTCAAGTTTGGCGCGGTCGCATTGTTAGGAACCATCCAACTGAGGGAGCCTCTGTTACAACACGTTACACTTTGAGTACAGTTACATGAGCTTTGGCATCTGTCAATATGAAGAACTGGAGGGCTAGGAGGAGACCTCTTTTGAAAGATCAGCATGCTATCAAGAGGTTCGCTTGGGCAATGGAGTATAGCCTGAGGAATTGGACAAAGGAGGATTTTGAGGGGGTCATTTTTAGTCATGAATGCTCAGTTGAAAAGTCTAAAGATCCTAAGAGTATTTGGGTCTTCAGATCACCTGAGGAAAAGTGGCACAAAGACTGTATCAATGGGGTTACAAAAGGACCTGGGATAAAGCTGATGGTCTAGGCTTGCATTTGGGGTAAAAATAAGTTTCCTCTGATTTCTATTTTTGACAAGAGTGTGGATAGATTTGTATATATTCGAGTTTTGGAGGATGGTTTAGTTGATACCGAGCAGGAGGTGGAAGACACAGTTGGAGATCCTATCTTTCACCAGGATGGTGCAAAAATACATACTGCAAGAGATACCATGACTTGGTTTACAGAAAATAACATACAGGTTATGGAATGGCCACCCAATTCCCCAGATCTCAATCCTATTGAGCACTGTTGGAAAAGGGTCAAGGAAGAGCTGCATCAGGGCTTTCCTAACATTCATAAGAATAAAGGAGGTCCAGATACTGTTAGAAAATGTCTAGCAGAAGCTCTGAATCAGGTTTGGACTCAGGATATTGAAGGGGACTTTTTGGAAAAGCTATGGGAGTCTATACCTAAGAGGGTAGCTACTATTCTAGATGCAAGGGGATGGTACACAAAGCATTAATTTTTTTTTCTCTATAATTTTGTTTGGGGGTTTCTTTGCATCTATTTAATATATATCTAAAGTTTCTACACTTTTTGACTAATTGTGGTTGAGTGGGTGGCATATTTGTGGTGGTAGTGGGGTTGCCGTAGTGGTGTCGTACGGAACGATTTGGGATCGTACTTTATGATGCTTACGAGAGGACCATAAGTCCGCTAGAGAAAAAATCCGGGCAACTCGCTCAACGTGAGTTTGATCTGTGTGTCCTATTGATGAGAAGTAATTTCCGGGACCGGGGCGAGTGAAGTAACTTAGGCCCGACACCCAATCCAAAACCCTATTAAATTAATGCTGGCAACTAGAGAAGGAGGTCATGAGGGGGGTGCTGCCAGTGCGGTTTATACCCTCTGAGAAAAAATTTAAAGCTCCTCCACTTATTCCAAAGGTACGAATTAAGTCTTGATCCCCCTTGCCTCCGTAGTATATAGGGACAAAATAAGGGCAGTGCTCCATCCAACTTGCTTTAACTCCTCAATAATCCCGTAGTGCATTTCGCATGCGGAAATAGACGAATGGTTAGTTGAGTTAGCCTGTGTTCTAGTCCGTTGGGCTGAGTCTGTCCCGGTGGGGGCAAATTTGCTCATCTTCAACCCTGGTTAACAAATTGCGAGGCTTGCCTTGTTACAATTCATGCCTCTTATCAATTTTGAGCTGGATGGAGCTTGGTACCACGATGGGAGATTCTATGCACTGCAGTATCATGCTCTCGAGGCTAGTCGCAACTACCCATGTATTTCTAGGATATCTATGTAGTGTTGCATCCAGAAAACAAAGTTAAACAAACAAAGAGCAGAAACGCAAGATCACAATAAATCAATCCCGCGAGAACAAAGAAGACTCCGTTCCTCCACAGTAGCCCCTTTTACAAACCTGCAACTATGGCCGTTGCACTGCTCTAAGGGAGAGAAGGAGAAGGAGAAAGAAATACAGAGAAAAGGGGAAAAGCTAAGCTCCGAGATCCTATTCCCGTGTTCACTAAGACACGACCAAACTAGAGAATAAATAAACTGGTAAGCCAGCTTAACACGTTCCCCCTCTCCCAATCTTCCCCCGCGCCTCTAACCACATCCAAGACAATACTTCTCACGTTACTACTTCTGTCGGGGAGTCTTTGGATAGGTCGGTGTCTGATAGAATGATCCCAATATCCAGATAGAGGGGAGACCGTATAGTGTTGATGAGATGTATGGAAAAGCATGGATGCATGTGTTAGGGCCGTGGGTCCCTAGTTAGTCGGTGCGACCATATTGTGTGTTGTTAGGGGAACCGGCCGTCAGTGGTGGCTTCCTCTCTTTTCACTATTTTTAGCCTTCTCCCCGAGCTTCTGATTGAGGACAAGAACGACTCCTCTCTCCTCACCTTCGGTCTTTTTCCATACGGTGACTCTATCCCTTTTTCTGCTGCACCGAGTCCCGCCATCAATATCGTGGTGGTAGGTATGGATGTATCCCCCAACCGCGTTGCACACAATCCGAGGAGTAGCCAATTTTTGTCACCGAACTGGGAATAATAACAATGGATAACGGGTCAAAGTAAAATCGATTGGCCGAGCGGGCTATTTCAGGACATTCAGTGTGCGTCGGCGGCTTTGCTAACGTGGAACAAGGAGCTGTGTTGGGGGTGCCAGACTGGGTGCTGGATAAATGAGATGGAGATATAGTAGGTTTGGAGAGGTGAAACACGCAGCGAGGGTCCTAGATCCATGTTTGTATATTAGGGTGAACTCGCGGTGAGGGGAGCTAAAATTTAGGAGAACGTCGTGGAGGGTTTCCAGAGCAGCAAGTAGCAGAAGGGAAGTTACGATTAAGGAAATAAAATGTTGTTTGTTTGGGGTGAGCAATAGAGCACAGCCGTGAGGCAATCGACTGCCGGGGATGTAGCGCGTGTAGGTAGCAGTAGTAATGTGAAATACTGGCAAGAAAAAGAAAAGGAGGAGGAAAAAAGGTGGGATAGGTGAGGAAACGATTCCAGAATTGGTGGTGGCTGGAGGAATAGAACATTCGAGTAGCAGACCAAGTCCAATCTGGTTGAGTTGCGAGGGCCATGCTAGTGAAATTATAGATTTGGATCTGCTCCATGTGAGAGGAGAAGTTGCGCAATCGACGCATTAGGGAATGCTTTAGCAGCTCGGAGTGCATTGCCATACTCGCCACCCTGAGAA